AATGACAGGGAAAGTTTTGTGCGAAATTTTATTTCATTTTTTGTACGTATATGTAGAATTTTTGATAATAAAGAAGCGAAGGATCGTATAGGTGGAAATAGCTTGAGGATGCACAGAAATGGGGTAGTATAGGAAAATAGCGAGTCGGGTAAGACAAGCTTCTTTAATAATTGTCAAGCTGAAATGGCCAGAATGGCTACCGAAAGAGGGTCGAAGCTATGGCGTATCGAATCCGTGACAGCGAGAGGGATGAGAATGCTAAAGCGAAGCTCTAGTATCGATTTTCCTCGCTTGAATTCACCATACATGGAAGCTGACTATGGTACACCACTTTCTCCCCTTTGAAACATCCCCCTACCGTTTCCTATATTAAACTACTTTACATTTAGAACGTCCAAACATATCTGCTTTAAAAATAATTCATACATGTACATACTATATACGAATTTCTCACTCGCGAATCAGGACTATCCAAATTTCTAATAAATAAGAAAATGAAATTTAAATAACAAATGAATTGCATGTTCAATAATAAAATTTGATATCCATATTCTCCTACGCTACTAAGAATTATTAAGTACATGAAAACGATATTAAGAGAAAATTTGAAATATAAAATAGGAAATTTAAATTTAAAGTATCGAAGCATTCCTAAAATGTCTCCAACCTGACCGCTAAAAATGCCCACAAAATTGTCATATAAATGTCATAAAATGTCAATAGAGTGTCATAAAATGTGAAAGTCAATAGAAATGTCAGATGTGAAGTTAATAAATATTACGACATACTAGGAGCGTGAAAACGGCACTAATTTCGATCCGTTCGAACCATAGATTCCACCATAATCACACCACTCACAGTGAACCCGGTCGATGCCTAAATTAACCCCACGTGTTACCATCGTCACATCCTGAGAGAAAACATCCGAAACATCTCGAACGTCGGTGAAACGGGCTCGAGGGCACAAGAGAGTCGAATTTTCCGGAACGGAAGTGATCACCAAAGACACCCGTCGTAACCGGTGAACGCGTGGTCGAGGGAAAGTGACGGTACGCGGTAAAAATAAAGCTGGAACGAAGACACGGAAATCGTGGAGCGTGGTAGAACGTTGCATCAAAAGTTACGGACGTGTTACATGAAATCGCGTGACTGGCTGCCGAGGTAAAACGGAAGGCGTGCTGGTTGCAGCGACGTGCAGACAGATGGGAGTGGTCTCCGCAATCACGATGGGCGTGGTGCTTTCACGGCGTGCTGCAGCTGCACCCCGCGTAGCGGCCTCTGTGCGCTGCATTTGCGTTCAAACGTGCTGGCGAATCGCGTGAGACAAGCTTTCCTGCCCGTCGAATCGTCTTCCCTTGCGAATTTTCCGCAGTTACGAGGAATCGCGATAAATCGAGGCTCGAGGTAGATGTATTGAAGATCGGGCGTAGGGGGTAGTTGTTTAATTCAGAAATAGTTCCAAAGGGTGAAATCAGGGTAGAAAGTAGGAAATGCACTGAGACTATACACGATGGCGAACTACACGAGCCAAATTTTCTTTGGAAGCTATACGAATGATTTTTTACCTAGAATTCTCGAAAACCCGATGTTAAAGGTTTCAATTCATTGAAAGCTAGGTATTGCATGGTAGCTGTTTATTTGAGGAACAACGAATTCGTATCGAGGTCCACGACGAATTCTTTGGGACTATTCTTGTTGCGTTGATCACGAATGGTTAGCGACAATTTCGTGGGGTAAAATTGCGGTTGGGAAGAAGGAAATACTCTGGGACTAGGCAATTGGCGAACTATTGTATTATATATGAGTCAAATCTTATTTGGAAGATATACGAATTATTTTTTACTTCGAATTTTCGAGAATTCTATGTCAAAGGTTTCAATTGATTTATGGAAAGGTGGGTATTGCATGGTAGCTATTTATTTGAAAAAGAAATTTAGATTGTGAATTGGAGAATGGTGCAAGTAAGTAGATGATCGCGAGTAATTCAGGAATAGTTCCAAAGAGTAAAATCATGGTTAGGAGATAAGAAATGCTCTCAAACTAGGCAATGGAGACGTGCATGAGTTAAATTTTCTTTGGAAGCTATACGAATCACCTTTACTTCAAGTTTTCGCGAATTCTATGTCGAAGGTTTCAATTGATTTATTAAAAGCTAGGTGTTGCAGGGTAGCTGCTAATCCGAGAAAGAAATTTAGTTTAGAAATTGGATGATGGTGCAAGTAGATGATCGCGAGTAATTCAGGAATAGTTCCAAAGGATAAAATCGGGGTTAGAAAATAGGAAATGCTCTGAGACTATGCAATGACAAAACACGTAAGTCAAATTTTCTTTGACAGATGCACGAATCATCTTCCACCTCGAGTCTTTAAGAATTCTATATCGAAGGTTTCAATTGATTTCTTGAATGTTAAATATTGGAGAGTAGGTGTTTATCCGAGGAAGAACTACTTTTCCGCCTAGGAGTTTGATCGGAGTGATTGCGAAGACTAAAACCATGGATAGAAAATCGAAAATATTCCAAACTTCGAAGAGAACTAGGAATTTAATACGATATTTCCTACTAACACTCCTAACTTCCTCGTAACACAGAACCCATCTTAATACCCACAGAACTACACCCCTAACTCTAAAGAATAACGTCAGAAAATGGTACCGTTTGAACCTCTTCACTCGTGAATTACGAATAGATTAGCAAACACCCTGTTCTAAATTAATTTAACAAATTGAACAGAATTTCTCTCTTATCTTAAAAGATGACAGGACACGTTAGAACAGCGTTGGATCGCGTTCACGCTTTCCATCGCCAATTTCACCCAGAAGCACGTACAAGATCCTTAGTCCTCGATGCAACCTACCGAGCCCTCGCGAGCGAGCAAGCAACCGATCCACGGGATCTCGTGCGATGGTGGACAGTGCCGAAAACACGGATGAAAAAAGAGAAGAACGCGAGGGTGAGCGGCGGGTTGCAACGTAGGGGAGGATGAGCGGGCTTTTTACCCGCGATTTACATGATAAATCTCGTCGGAGGAGGATCGACTCGACATCAAAGTTGGAAGGCCGAGAGTGCAGTGCCGTTTGTGGCGGCCTGGCAAGAGGGAACGGAGGCAGAATGGCGCGCAGGTAGCGCGCAAGAAAGGTCGGTCGGCCCCTCAGATGCTCGCAATTAATAAGAGCTTAATGGGGGCCGATATAGCGCTGCCACGCTCTCGGGGTCCGTGCTTTCTTCGTTGTTCTCCCACCGAAATCATCGATGCCGACGACAAAAAGCAACGCCACGGCCGTAAAACATTTCGCTCCGTTCCTCCGCTATACTCCAAGGTGCCCGGGACACGTCACCGCAAAAAGGGCCGCACCATTTCTCGCAGGCCGGTGCTGGGTTATATAAGAGAGAGGGAAAGCTCGTTTCTCGCGCCGCGATTAGGAAACGTGGATCACGAGGAGATGGAGTTTCGAGCTGGTTTGATCTCGGAGAAAATTGCGGAAAGTGATGTTTCAGTGGAAGGGAACGGTGACGATGCTTGGGTGTACGACTCGCGCTCAGACTCGGTGTAGCTTGTCTTGGTTTTGGAGTTGCTGTTATGGTTAACTTGGATGAATTTACAGGGCGTGGAACTGGGATTTACAGGATAGAATGGTGGTGAAAATTAGGGTTCATTTAGATTTAGGATATTTGCATTCCTAGTCATCAGTTAAGCATAATTCGGTGGTAATCGTCAACCCTCTGCACTGGAAGATTATAACTTACAATGAGAGCCTTTCTGAAACTATACCGATACTGTACAGGAACTGTGCAGAAATTGTACTGAGACAGTGCAAAAACTGTGCAGAAACAGTGTTGTACACTGTATTGAAAATGTACAATCTCAGTATTGTCACAGTACTGTGAGAGTAGAGAATACAGTATACTGTGACAGTACTGAGACTGTACTGATACTGTTCTGAAGCTGAATCGAATCTGTTCTGAAACTGTACTGACACTGTGCTGAAAATGTAGAGAAACTGTACTGTCACGGTACTGAAACTGTATTGAAATTGTACTGAAGCTGTACTGAAACGGTGCTGAAACAGTACTGAAACCGTAATGGAACTGTACTGAAACTGTACTGACACTGAACTCAAACTATCCTTCGGGTTATAGATTTAGTTGAAACTTTGCTGGTTTATAGATTTAATCATTCAGTTGAAGAAAATATATCATAGATTTATATATAAATATAAATCCCGAGGGACTTGCAACCTCCTTGTTAGTACCGACTCGAAACTTCTTGCCAAATGTCGATAACAAAAACACGCGTATGAATTAACAAAATCTATAATCCTCTGACTTCTCCAGAATTTTTTGTGAAGTTTAGGGTGCAAAATAGGCGAAGTAATGACGTTTAACCCATTAACAGCTTACCCCGTGACAGTCACGGGTAGAGCATCGAGTACTACACACGAACTAATTACTAACAAGGTACATATAAAACACATTTCTTTACATTTTTTATTACACGCTGAAGTGTTTTCGAACATAAAAGATCTGTACATTTCTTGGACCCGAATTCGTAATTTTACTACACTGTGAAAGGGTTAAATATTACAGATTAGAGAAAAAGTCAAAATTTATCGAACAGTGTAATTTGAAAGAAATTTTTCAAAGATATTAATGCCTTCGAGCACCTTAAGTCACAAGAATGAAGAGCATGTTCGTTACTAGGATGCCGATTATTATACCGATTCCACGACGGCCTTCGTCCCCCAACTATCAGACTGTCCCCTTATTTGAAAGCTGGAAAAAGTTGTCAAGTAGAAATACAAAATTTACGACCCCGAACTATAACAGATACCTATTTGATCCTCCCACAGACTTCCATACGCAAGGTTCCCTAAACTACGTCCCACCACCAGCTAAACACTGTCAAAGACATATTATACAAGCCCACGAGAACTCAGCAACTGGTCCAATTGCCGCGACCCGGTATCGACGCGAGATATATGACATTCGTGACTCTACTCACCAGAGAGGGGTGCGTAATAGCCGTGCGGGTAAGAGGGTGCGGAGGAAGCGTCGACGAACGACTGCGACGGCGTCGCCGACGGCCAGTCCTTGTAGGAGGCCGCGGAGTGCGCGTGGTGCGCCGCATGGTGGCCGAGTCCTCGCGCACCACCCAACAGCAGACCGCCGTAACTCGTCACGGTCGCCATGTTATGGTGGTGATACTCGTGCACAGCCCTGCAAAACAGATCGTGGAAATCGTTTTCGACGCCTTTACATCCTTCGCTGATTTCTTTTATACGGAATAACGCTAAGGGAGGCTCTAATGTCCGAAGGAAGCAAGTAGGCTCGAGGGATGAAGTCGCCAGGAAATGAACAGTACGCGAAGAAGAAGGGTGGATATAGGACGGAACGCTGGAGAAGATCAGACGAAAATGAGAGAGACTTCGAAAGGAGAGAAAAAAGAGTCGGAGAGAAAGAGAAAGAAAGAATCCTCGATATCGTGCCTCTTCTCAAGAACGGTGACAGACTGGTAATTTATACGGCGGCCGACGCGAGATCAGCGCTAAGGATCTCTGCGGCAGGGGTACCTGCTCCCGACGGTTTTCTGTATTTTTCACGTCTCGTTTTCTCTTTGCCTCCTCTCCTGCCTTCTCTCTCTCTTTCTCTCTCCGCTCTTCTCCTCCGCCGTGTCGCTTTTTCTACGGCTCCTCCGACCTACCCCGTACTCCCATCTATTCCTTTCTCGCTCCGTCTCTTTCCTCCATTTTTCCCGATTTTTCTCCCATTTTGTCTCCCTTTTCTTCTCCTCGTCCTTTTTCCAACGGGTTCCCCCTTCCTCCCCGCGCTCCGCGCCCGCTGCGACATTCGTTCCCGATGGTTTATCCCGGCAGGCTATCGCGTAATGAGCGTGTCGCGCCTGCCGGAGGCGGATTTTTGGAATGCGTGAAGCATCGGCCGCATTATCGTCCTTTAATTGAACGGACCACGCTCGCGACGATTTCGTCGATTAATCACGGGCTGGTTTCGCGCGCCGCGCGTGAACCAGCGGCGCGAGCGAGCGGAGCCGCGCGGATTTAAAATGGAGCACGACGCGCTGGGATTCGATTGGACGAGATTCTTCCATGGGGTTGGTGTAATTGCGCACCGTGCTGATACGTTCTCGTTCATGGGATTTATCCGACGCGACGTATGGAGATGAAATAATGGGGATTCCGATCGAGTTGGAAGAGAGGGATTGAGAGGAACGAAATTTTCGTTGACTTTCAGTGGATTGGAGTAAATTTGATGATATTTGAACTGTTCGATAAGGGATTCTCTAAGTGTCTTCTTTTTACGCGAGATGAATAAATAATTGGCGTTGCGGGGTGGCGAAGTCAACAGATTCTATTAATCTTCTAGAAGGGTGAACTTGATCACGATGTAATATATCACTCGAAATATATTACGAATAATTATATCGAGAATTTTGTTAAACAGAACATTAAATAAAATTTTGGATAAGATAGTCCACTTTTAAGGTTAGAATAGAGGTGGAAACTGTGGACTTCGCTCTTGCTGTAAGCACCATAAACACTGATGATTTAACCCTTTCACTGTTTCGCGTCATACGATCAAGGATCTAACTTGGATCATCCATGATCTCGCGATCTCTCTAATTACGAAGCTGGTCTAAATCGAAAATTCTAAGGGAAGCGATTTCATCCTCCATTTCGTATTGCGTTAATTTCCTTGCAATAAAATGACACTACTTTGCGACACTAATTAATTCTTCCAATTTGTATTATAATATATTTAAAGCAAATCATAGATTCGAATCTTATGAAACAACGAAAGGGTTAAAATAAGAACGGAATTGTGAAGAAAAGGCCGATTTTCCGATTAAAATCGAAGGAATCACGATTACCGAGTATTATTTGAGAATAATGTCATTCGAGGAGGCAGAGAAACGTATTAGAGGTTAGGTCTGGGACAGATTTTCCTGTAACGTAGAAATATATTTTAAGGACAGCACGAGGAATGTCAGGAACGCTCACCTGTGGTGATACTGTGGATAATGCGAATGCCATGGATCCGTTGGACACTCGTAGACTTCACTAGGATGCTGGCTCTTCCAGAAGGAAGGGGGGAAGTTCCTCATGAACATGGGAGAGATATTTTCTACAACAGAACGAAATGCTTTTTGTTAGTCCCGCGTGTATTCCACTGAGCGAATATAAACGTGCAATTAAATTATCAGGCTAATCAACAGCCCAACTTCTTCCCATACATAGTACCACTAGGTATAGTACCTACTACTTAGATACTACTGACTGGAAAGTGAACCTGTCGTTCACTATAATGCTCGAGTTTTCACGAAACGTTATTTTTAACACCGACACAGCAATTAAGTAAGCTACTAAACGGCGTCAATTTCTAACCTCGAAATTTCGTGTTAAACGTTATTATGATAATTCCCTGGCGAAAGTTTCTCACGAAACCAAATCCAAAACTCATCGAGTATCCAGTAATTCCATGATATCTCCAAACCAGGAGTCCTGGACGATAAGTCACCAGGTAATCGATTTATACATAATACTACTAGATATAGTACCTACAAATATAGACCCACAGACATAGTACCTACTAAATACTACTAACTGGAAAGTGAACGTGTCGTTCACTATAGTGCTCGAGTTTTCAAGTAACGTTGTGTTTCTCAAACCGCCACAGAAATTATATCAAGTAAGCTAAACAGTGTCGATTTCTAACCTCGAAATTTCGTGTTAAACGTTATTACGATAATTCCCCGGCGAAAGTTTCCCACGAAACCAAATCCAAAACCCGTCGAGTATCCAGTAGTTCCATGAAATCTCCAAACGAAGAGCCCTAGACGATAAGTCACCAGGTGATCGATCTACGATCGACGATCCCGACCTTGACGGATCAGCGGGCCAATCGACGCAATAATTCCTGTTCGAGAGCATAGACGTTCCGGCCGGGCAGGAATGTTTATTAAAATATTTGTGTCGTTTCCCACGGGCCAGCACGCGATTCTTTCGAGGGCTCACGATAAACGGGTAGTCGGATCCCACGGGATCGAACCGCGCGACAGAAAGGTACCGCTCGGTTGTTTTACAAGCGACCACTCCAAAGCCAGAAGCTTGTCGTGTATCCTCCCGCGAGTCTCTCCGGGTCCTTGGTCCCGGGATTCCTTTTTCTCTCCAAGCTCTTTCGGCCAATCCAAACACATATTCGAAGGTTGAACCAACGAGGTCGAACCAGCCGACGATTTATGCTTCTAATTCCTCTGCCTCTTCCTCTGTCAGCTCTCCGCCGTGGTATCCCACGGAAAATGTGTCAAGTGATTTATTAAAAAAATCCTGGCTTCACCAATCGCTGTTATCTCGAGATATCTGGTGTCCTTTCGACGCCATTGCGTATAGGAAACTCTTGATGCTTCAATTTTTCTTGCCAGATCCAAATTAACCACTTGCGCTACGATTTAACTTTCGGTTACCGTATCGCGCTCTACAATATAACATACGGTAAGGCGTTACATTGAGCCTAACTGTTAGCCAACGTGACGGACACGTCGTTTTTGTTTCTGCGACAAATGCCTATCGACGTGGTATACACGTCGCTGGCGTCTTTGGAACAAAAGCATCTGAACGTGCGCGGCACGTCTTTATAGCGCAAATGGTTAAGGCCCGATTTCTGAATTTCCTTCCTCGATTTCGGAGTCCATTTATTGGCACTCGATCTTTTCAAAGATGGCGTCTCGTGGCTGGTGACTATAGTTACCCGTAGTAGCGAAACATTACAATCTTTGGTATTGGCAGTCTTTAGCATTCGGGGTGAAGTCTTTTGAAAAAGAAAAAAGGAAAAGAAAAATCTATCATCGCAAAAGCTTGCAATTCTTTGCGGAGAGAGCTAAGCAGAACGGGAGTACGTGTATTAATTCTTGGCTGAATTTTTGTGACCGGTGACTATAGTCACCTGTAGTAAAGAAAGGGTTAAAATTACTATTTCACTGAATACCAGTGCACTGCGTTTTCTAACCTTCAATCTACAACATATACTTTCTCCCCTTTCTTTCTGTATACGGTATTATTACTAAACTTACCACTGTTAAATGACAGGTTATTGAAGAACTAACATTTAAACTCACAGAAAAGTGGAATAATTGGAAAAATTGAAAGATCAATTGCACGTATACCGGAAGGAAAATCGAAGAAACGAAGAATTAAAACGATAACGTCGAACGCAGAATTTTTATCGAAATTTTTAAAATCGGTCATTTAGGTTATGGTAGGTTTACTGTTGCGAAAGTGTAAGTTTCGCTTGGAAGTAGCATAAACTCGGTTGGTTCGCGTCGGAGACATCTCGAGCACAGGATGTAGTCGTTTTGCGCAGAGGATCGCGAAATTGATTGAATTCGGTTTGGCTGGTAGCAAGATGCTGTAAAATTTATCATCATTTGCTCGGGCAACGCGTTAATTATGGAGCTTACTGTTTATGGATCGACAGGGATACATGGTGGCATAAAAAGTGGCAGGCAGTAAGACTGTTTGATAAAACAGAGGCATGAATTATTCATCGTTGTGTTGCACAACCTATCTGTACCGGATTGATACATGGTACTCGATGTACAGTAATTTATCTTTAATAGATGACACATACTAACACACATACCCGTGACAATTAACGAGCCCGAGTTAACAAATGGAAGGAGTATCGGTACCGTAAGGACAATACCGTAAATCGAGAACGAAACGCCATTTAATTTTTGCATTCGTGCGATGAAATGTAGATACAAAAATCTAGCGTCTGTCAAAGTATCGAGTCTCAAAGAAATAAATGAAAGTAGCCTCGAGAGGCTGCAAATACGTGGTACCATACTTGACCGATTTACTTCTAACATTCATACCTTATAATTATTTGAAAAATCAGAATAATTTATTTTGGAGCAAACCCAAATTGCACACGTATTTAATTAATTAAATTCATTAACTAAATTCATATTAAAATAAAATTAATTTAAATTTAATTAAACGCACACGTATTAAAACGAATAAATAATTGAAATTTTCCTGCCATTCTCAGTTTTCAAAAAATGGACTTATCTAAACAGACACGATTTTGGGATAAAATGAGGTATTACATAAAAAGTAAGAAGGTTAGGAAGATCATTCTTTCCTTATAGGTTAGGTGAGAGTATCCTGAGTTTTCGACTCAGAGATTTTGAGGCAAACCCAAATTGCACACGTACTTCTGAAGTATCCACGTCGAGTGTCAACGATTAGAAAATGATTCAACGATGACGTTACATTTTTAATTACACTGTACAACGCGAATTTTAATCTGTAATATTCATTGGGAAACTCTTGTCAAATTTACTTTTCTGAAAATTAATAAATAATTGAAATTTCTCTATCACTCTGAGTTTCCAAAAAATGGACTCTTCTAAAAAGACACGATTTTGGGATAAAATGAGATATTACATAAAATGTAAAAAGGCTAGGAGGATCATTCTTGTCTTATAGGTTAGGTGAGAGTATCCTGAGTTTATCAATCTCCATAATTATAATTATTTATACTTTTGAAAAATTATAATTGCTCATCAAGCTTTAAAAATAAGCTGTCAAGTGTACTTCTATAGTAAATTCGTGTCAAATAAAGAACTTTTTACTCTGTAGAAAGTAAACTCTACAAGATTCACCTAATGGATATTACAGATTAGGGAAGAAGTAAAAATTTGTTGGACAGTGCTACTGACTTGCAAATTTCACTTTATCACGGTTCACCATTAGTTCACAACGAAAAACGCCAATGAGATAAATATTACCTGCCTGTAACATATTATTGTCTCCAAGATATCGTTTTAAGTTCCGAGCACCCACTACTCTTTCTATCAGCACTCAAATAAATTGCATGATTTTTTCCGAAGACACGAAAACCGATTAATCTTGCACTTGCACAATTAACAGATAAATACAAAATTTTGTAAATCTCCATTCACAGCGTTTTTCCACCCAATAACAGATACAGGGCCGACGCGAGACAGGTTCAACGCGTTCACCGGAACCCGGCCCCGCGTTTTGAAAGGCCCCGCGGTCTACGAAAACTCATCGGACATTTTGCAAGACCCCCTGTATAGTAGACTGAACATTCGTGCGTGTGTAGAAAATACAATCGCATAATCCATTAACCGATTATGGATTAATTGGATATGGTACAGCTTGCCGTGCATTGACACGAGTGCAAGATTTTCTCAGCCATCTTTGCATCGAAATATTTCGTTGCAGAGTGTTCTAAACGTTGAGATTAAACGTTGACATCAAAGGTTGATACGACTGCAGCACGGGTGCGGAAGATATTAGGTGTTAAGGAAATCACCCAATTAAAAAACACCGATTTTGATCATCTTTTTAGAGAATGACGATACCATACCATTTACCGATACCATATTGGATTTAAACGCGTACTCTGGCTCGGCAAAATTTTTGAGCCTGACCTCACGAAAGGTCACGCCGGACCTGAACAGACACAGTGGCTAACCAAAATGAAATGCTTTAACAGCATAAACTTCTGTAATTAAATACTGTAGGATGACGAAACTGGTCTTGAGACACCGAAAATTCACGAAAGAACAAGAACACGATAACGCAAACTCAAAACTCGTAAACTGATTTAACTTAGGGAAATAACACCAAGATAACGAAAACACACAAAGACGCACTCTTTTAAAACTCTCTACAAACGACTCACGCTTGTGTTGGTCACAACCGATTTCAAAGGACTCAGTTTTGCTTGTCAAGGACCACGCTTTTATGCTTTCCTTAACCTACGCTTCACCCCGCCGTAGGGGAGTCACGCAACTTAATTTTGTTATATAGAATAACTTTTCAATATGCTTCTAGAAGATATCGATCGGTTTACAATTTGTTTTCGTTGGCAATAGCTGATTCGCGATTTCTTTTGGTTCCTACGATACTATAAAGAATTAGGAGCAACTACTAATTCTAAACAATTACCCCGACATCGGTACGCCAAAGAGATAAACCATAATCTCCAGCACCTTCTGCCCATCGTCTCGTTCCTCTTCAACCCCCTCGACACCCCCCGCCAGTGACAATTTCCTCGAGACCACTCTATTCCCCGTGCTCGCACCCTGCGAC